GGTGATATTGGAAGAGAGGTCGTCGAGTAAAGTAACGCCTACTCGACGGCCCAGACAATGAGCGTCTTTGCTAAACCTATACCCGTAGCAGTAACGAAAAAACTCGGGTAAAAAATTACCTAAAACTATGCGGGTAACAACTATGAAAGCTACCATTATTCAAATAGAATTGGGGGTGAACTGGTTTATTGGTACATCGAAAAGGTTACTTAACGATAGCAGGAGCATAAGAAAACAATATTAGGAACTGCTCCATATCAAGACTCCGTCAGGGAAGTCACTACCAGCAAATGAATAAGGCTTGTTCTATATAAAAAGTCGTCAAGAAGAACCTAGTAAGGAATACCTCGAGGAATCAAGTCGAGGCGAGAAGATGCGGAAGTTCGAGAAACGTCAGGGTCCTCATAAAGGGCGCCCGAAAGCAACGCCTGATTGTACACGTTCCAATCGATACCAAAGGATGAGGCATTGGAGTTAACAGAATCCTCTGGTTTAATGTTCTGATAACACGAACCAACATCGACTTGGTGGACGGAGTCCGAACCCGAGTAGTCATCGATCTCACGGGCCAGAGAACCCGAGACAGGATCAGAAATGGGGTATCGGGATCTAAAAAAAAAGAAAGAGAATCAGTAGACATGGGAAGACGCGACCAAGATTCGACTCTAAAAAGTAAGGGTCGACAAAAGGATCAAAAAGGCAACTCGGCAGCAGGAAGGAAAGAAGAAACAAGGAAAAAACTCCTCGTGTCGACTCGATTTAACAAGTGAAGGTCAAGTCATGGAAAGAAATCCCTCATAACGAGACGGCTAATAGATGAAAACACTTGAATGAATGGAAAGTCTACGATTGAGGATCTAACGAGAAAATCTCCAGAAAATTCACGAAAAATGCCCAGAACATCTGATGAACACCCAAGCCCCAAAGCATATTACCCAGAAAAACAAAAAGTTCTTATTTTGAACGCACCAACAAATCGAAAAGCAAAGAAAACTTACTCATACTCATGGTAGTTGGCTGAGAAGTCCTTAAAAATCCAAGAAGAGCATCGGAAAATGAACGGAATGCCGGAAGCTTGAGATGCTGTGTTTGCCGGAGAAACAGAAAGTTTGAAGAATCTCGAATGCGAAAAGTGAAGATGGGGAAAGGGAAGAGATACTTATAGGGAAAATTGAAAAACCCTAACCCTCAGATTAAATTCGTATTCAACGGCTGAGATGAGGCACGAAATACGAAGCGGTGGAAAGAGAATGTCTTATCTTTTGAATTTTGAAATTTGAAAAGACTCAAACCTATCAAACCGGTCCGAAATACTCATAAGATAATACCATCTTATAAACCGAAAAAGCAAACAGGTACAACAAAGAATGACGACAGACGACAGGATAAAAGAAAAGACTCGAGGAAGACATTCGGTCGACAAAACTTACTCTTAAGCTTAGAATCGCTTCGAGTAATTTTAGGGGGGGACTAGATGATATAGCCACACTGACGCATAACGGTTCATATCATTACGGTTCAGAGGTCACCTAGTCGACTCGAGCAAAGTCGACTCCGCCAATAGGCTCTTCGTGATGCTCACGACCAAGGATCCCGATGCTCATCTAAGTCGACGTACATATGTCGACTGACATCAGTCGACTCCTTCCAAGACAATGATCAAGCATGGTGGGATCCGCTAACGGTTGAATACGATCCAGTCGACTCGAGTCGATATCTCAGGTCGACTGAAGAGGTCTCGCAGTTCATAGATCTCGACAGCTCGGATATACTTCAGCGTATCAAGGGAGAGTTAAGGATAAGGAAGAAGCTTAGGAAGGATCTAGAAGCTGACTAGGAAATGGGCGGAATGCGAACCGACCAGGGTAACTTGGACATTTCCAGTAAGTCGGCGGGGGCATTTTGGGGACTTCAGGTAAATGTTTCACTTCTATATAAAGGAGCCTCCTAACTCCTATTCATTCTACATTTTTCTATATTATTGCTGCTCTCTGAGGGCGGCTCTCTCCACCTTCTCCACATATTGACTTGAGCGTCGGAGACTCTACGCCGGAGAACCTCTCCGGTGTTGAGTTTTTGCATGTGTTCTTGCGGTTCAACAACGGTTCGGAGGCCATCAAGTCAGATCTGAGCTCACCTATACCGGTTCATCCCAGATCCGGGCGATTTCTCCTCGGTTCGTTCTATATCTGAGAAAAGACCCATCATACGTAAGACCTGGGAATCATATAATATTTCACTTGTCACGTGATGATTGCTAATGAGAAAGGTCACCCAGATGTGCTACCATAGAGCATCTAGACTGGTAGGACGACTTGTCAGCATTAAATGCTCTACAAGTGCATTTAGGGTGTGATTGTATATAAATTCAACAGTAAAAAAACCAATCAAAGCTCAAATTTAGATCAGCTTTAATTCAACCTCATTATCTTTAATATTATAAATATAATTAAATAATATCAACCAATCATTCTTACACATCACATCAACTTTAATTCACTATTCATTCATTCACGTAATTATAACTAACTATCACTTCCTATCATTTTTCTCCTACTTTACATCAATTCAACTTTAATTATTTTATTTAAATATTATTTTAATATATCCACTAACAACTAACCATACAACTTTTTTTTTTTTCAAAATTAACTCTAATTAAAAATAAACCATATAAAAACTAGTTCAATCCATAAACAATCACCCCCTTAATGCCTGACAGGTAATCATTGGAAAAACCTCATACTTCATTTAATGTTATACCGGCGCCAGCCTGTCACTCTGAATCACTGTGCGAAATGACAGGATGAACAATATATGAATAATATCAAATTAGGTTACTATAAATAGTTGATGGCCCTCATTTAATAAGGGTTGTTGATCTCTCTACCAACTCTCTCTTTCTCTCTCTCTCTCTCTCTCTCTACATTACTCTGCAGAAAAGCTTTTGATTATTCCCAAGTGTAACGGAAGAGCCGATCTTATTTAAATGACTGAACTAATAAAATCCCACTTATTTCGTAAATTCTTATTCTTTCCTAATCTTATCACTCTTAAACTTTTTATTAACCGTTGACCGATTTCGATCGTCAACAATATATATATATATATATATATATATATATATATTATAAACAAAATTTATACTATATATAATTTATAATAATTATATAAATATTGTTAACAAATTCCATATTCGATAATTTCAAATCGAATATCTATAATTTGGATTCAGATTCGTTTAACTTTAGAATATAAAACATTATTCGTATTAGAATTTAAATTCGAATCACGAATATCAAATTCAAATATTGGATCAAACAAAAAAAATTCACTTTGCTTACATGCCTACTTGTGATTTAATATTTTACTGCAATTCAGTCGTTTGGGGTTTGAAATTGCAATAAAATTTCACATTACAGGATTCGAAATGCAACAAAATTTAAAATTACAAGACTTAAATTACTAATAAAAAATCCGAGAAAATGGAAATTTGTTGCAATTTCAATCCTCAAATGACTAAAATTGCAACAAAATATTTAAATCACATGAAGGTAAATATTGAAACTCTGAAAATAAAATTGTAATGACTGAAAATGCAGCAAAATATTAAGGGGTGATTGGATATAAATTCAACTAAAAAACTGGTTTTTTTTATCTATAGTTAAGTTTGAAAAAAAAGTAGTATGATTAGTTGTTAGTGGATATATTAAAATAATATTTAAATTAAAATAATTAAAGTTGATTTGATGTAAAAGTAGGAGAAAATGATTGGAAGTGATAGTTAGTTAAAATTATGTGAGTGAATGAATAGTGAATTAAAGTTGATATGATGTGTAATAATAATTGATTGATATTATTTAATTATATTGTTAATATTGGAGACAACGGAGTTGAGTTAAAGTTGAGTTAAATTTAAGTTTTGAGTGTGATATTTAATGTAGAATTGATATACAACCAGGCCCTAAATCACATGGAGCGAAATGTTGAAATTTGAAACTAAAATTAAAATTGTTAAAGTGTTTAACCAAAATGACTAACAATGCAATCTTAACTTATATTCCCTCCCATTTTTAATATTTGTCATCATGACTTAATTGATCATTGATTAAATAAATGTCGTTTTGACTATTTTGTTCATATTTTTTCATTTTAACCCTCCATTTAATACACAGTCTCTTCACATCTCATCTCTATTGTTTCCCATAACATTCATTAAATAGAGTTAATATTGACAAGAATTTTTTTTTAATTAACGTGTTACTTCTCAAAATGACAAATAATAATAAAAATAGGAGGGAGTATCCATTTAACGCACTTAATGCAAAATATGCAATTTTAGTAGGCGGCTTCAGTTAAAAAAAAATGTAATAAGGCAACAGTAATGCTAAGGAGCCAACTGTTGGCTCCGTTACAGAGCCAACAACCAATGGGACAACTCCATGTGGGGCTGTCTCACCTTGGAGCCATGTGGGACAATCCCACATGAAGTTGTCTTATTGGTTGTTGGCTCCGTAATGGAGCCAACAATTGACTCCTTAGCATTACCGGGGAGTGCAAAAAAGTTCTTCACCGCCGTGTATCTGAAAAGGAGATTTGTAAAATCTCATCTTAGATCTTGTGTAAAAGTTGTAACTAAATTCAGACAACCTACGCATGTCAAGCTGTCCGAAAACAAAAAAATAAAAAAGAACGAATATAAAAAGTGAGTGGAAAACAAACGCTCTCCTCCTCCTTTCGGTGGATTTTCATTTTCACCGTGCGTAAGCCAAGAAAGCCCTCTCTTCTCATTCAACATTTCACCACTGTCCAAATCTTATCTCACTCCTCACAAAATCCTGCGAATCGAGAAAAAAAAAAAAAGCTGTGTCCGTAAAGAATTTCATTGATCGGACATTATTAGTTTTCATCAGCTTTTCAGAAGAAGGGAGCTCAGATTTGCAAACCAATTTCTTTTTTCTTGTTTAAATTTGGTGGTTAGAAAGATAAAAGCTACAGCCATGGATGCTAACTCTTGGGCTGCTCGTCTGTCCTCTGCCTCCAAGCGCTATCAGTCTGCGCTTCAATCTCGATCTGGTAAACGCCTCTTCCTGTTATTTATCTTCTTTTTCAATTGTATAATGGATTTTTCATCTAGGGTTCTTGATAGCGGTTTGAGTTGTTTTAATTTTCATTAAAGAATTCATTTTCGATGCTTTATGTGCGTAAGGATGGATGTATTTGTCCTATTATGTCCTAGATTGAGCTCGTTGGGTTTACTATTTTGTGTAACATGTCTTGAGAGATCTTTACTATGGCATGAACTTGTTGTCTATGTAACCGTAGGATGGGTTGAATAAAATTATTTGAGGTTGTATTTCGAGCTCGCTACACCTTCACATCGAATGAAAAATGGTAAACTTGTGTGTAATTTTGCCATATTGACGTTGGTTTCCTATGTGTGTGTCTTGTTGTAGGTATGAGATGGGATAGTTTCGATGCCGATATGCTGACGGGGTTTGAGGAAATCGAGATGGATGATGATATAAGGGAGGAATATCCATGCCCTTTTTGTTCAGAGTATTTCGATATCGTGGGACTTTGTTGCCACATAGACGATGAGCATCCTGTAGAAGCTAAGAATGGGGTAAAGTTCAATTTTTTTATGCATAACGATTAAGTGTTTAGGAACAGAATCATTGGAATGTAGGATATTTCACGGGTAACTTCCAAATGGAGTACCAAAAGATTATTTCTTAATTGATTAATGACATGTATACATGGATTCTTACATATGTTTTGAGGTATGCATTTTCTTCCTTTTATCTCTTCGTGGAGAGGTAGACAGTTCGTTTTAAGGACCCTCGGCTTTGTGAGCTCTTGAAGGTCAAGGCTATAGCAACTTCAAAACAGTCAAACAACTTACCAGCTCTTTGTATCCCATCTTTTTAACATTTTCTTTGATCTGGTCAATGTATTGCACTTGAGTTTGTTTGTTTGCCGTGATTGTTCTAGAACACTACCTTTTGTTATGAATTTCTGTTTCACTTTGTCATACATGGTCTCCTTGCCCATTGCGTATCTGGTGTGATAATTTCAGATGTCATTTTGTTGAGGTGTTAATTAATCATAAGGTTAATCTTGCAGGTTTGTCCAATTTGTTCAATGAGGGTTGGTGTCGACATGGTAGCTCATATAACCTTGCAACACGGAAACATATTTAAGATATCCTTTATTTTTTCGTATTTTATTTTTTTTTATCTGTTTTTGTGGCTATACTGTGCTTGTCTTCAACTTTTACCCTCCATTCTTGAATGGAAATATTTTTTTATGTGGTCTGTTTGGGACTAAAAGGCTATAATGTTGTTGTTGTTGTTGTGGCTTGTTTGTGAATATGACTCCAAGAATATTGGGGTTGGACTTCAATGGATTTTTTTTTTCAACGTGCTGACTTATACAAGTAGCAATAAGCAGAAATCTGCTAATTTTACGAAGTTCATGTTAATATCATACTCAGTGGGCTGTTTCATGTTAGCTGTACTATACCTGTATATCTCCATGCCCCCTTGAGATCCTTGACTACATAGTACATGCAGCGCAAGAGGAAATCACGAAAAGCTTCGCATTCGACTCTCTCTTTCTTGAGGCGGGAGCTGAGAGAAGGGAATTTTCAGTCCCTTTTTGGTGGCTCCTCCTCATGCATCGGGTCCTCAAATAATGCGGTGGCAGACCCGCTGTTGTCATCATTCATTTTGCCGATGGCTGAAGATTATGAAAGTGTTCCATCACACACTTCAGCTGAAAAAACTTTAGTTGAGAAAAGCGCGAGTAATGGCATTTCAGATAGGTATATATCAGTTGATTTCCTTTTCTTTTTCTTTTTTTTTTTAGCGTTTTATGTAACATGTTTTCATCAAGATTCACTATTATCGTTAACGCGCGTGATGCTTGGTGCAAATATATATACTACATTATTTTGGTCACACTTGAATTTGATAGAAAATTAGCATCGGTGTCTGGTTTACACGTGCAACTCTACTCTTTATTTTTCAATATAGAGTAGTAGTTCAGAACTACTATAAAAAATAATAAGAGATATCTCCTGAGGTCTTAGTTTTTGCTGTGGATGTCATTTATGTTCGACATTGCTGTCGAATGAACAAAGAGGCAGGAATATCTTGGATTTGTTTGGTAGCTACTAATCATTGTCGCTCGACTTTATACCTTAGCAAAACCTAGAAGTATTTGAACATGCTCGTCAAACATATGCATGCATGTTTCAATGAAGACATTGGGGGTCTTCTGATGGAGCTTAGTGATCACTTCTCTCGCGTCATTTTGATGGGATTACGTATAAAAGCCGACTTGTTCTGAAGTAATTCTTCTTTATTAGAAAAAAAGTTTTAGCGAATGTAGAAACAAAAATAGAAGGCCAAAAAGAAAAAGAGTAATGTCCTTTAGAATGAGTCTGTTAGCTGGCTCGATGCAGTCGTTCCACCCATTGACTGAGTGAGCTTTTGTTTGTCGCTTTAAAATCATCTAAGATAATTTTGAAGTCATGGATATGTAGCTTTAATGAATTGTTCCGTTTCACCATTAGAGATAAGTTGTGATGTGCTTATTGATCAGTTTGTGAATTCCCATGCTTTAGAATCTTCACTGTCCGTAGAAGAAAAAAAATAATTATTATTGTTTACATTTACTGAATTCACGCTTTTGTATACAGAAAAGCTGAGCAGCCTCCAATGTCGGTTAAAGATAAGGAGGAGAAGGCAAAGAGGAGTGAGTTTGTGCAGGGATTGGTCTTATCGACAATGATGCTCGATGGTAATTTATAATTTGTGCAGTGGCACTAGGCTGTGGCGGAAGATGGTGCGTGCGGAAACTGCAAGAGAGTACGGCCTATTTCATGGCCCATATATGCCCGGACATGTATTGAGATGGAAAGCGAGATAATAAGTTTGTAACAATAAAATGTAAAAATTATGTTGGTAGAAATAGTGCTAGTTTCCTGCAAGACTCATGTGTTTGGTTTCGTTATATGTGTTCCTTTTTTTTTTTGGTAAAAGAAATTATATTCGTTGTGTTGCATGCTTTGATGATGTTACCCTTATGGAATCAAAGACATCATAATTTGCATCTTGAGTGTGGATATTGGTGATGATTTTGTGTATTGGGACCTCTAGTCATAATCTTGTTATCAATAGAAGAAGGTAACTACGCCCTTATCGGTAAAAATTATCGTAATGCGATCAAGGCGTTGTTCTGTGGCTTGAAATTAGGAAAAATCTCGTCCCATAGAAGTGAAGTGGTCATGCAGCGTTCAAAAGTGAGTGACTCGAGCGTTCAAAAGTGAGTGACTCGATATACTTCGATTTGTTGAATTTTAGATTGGGATTCAGTTCATGTTAAAAACATAGTCCATCTTATCTATCTATCTATATCTATCTATACTATTATAAATCTGTAAAAACATTATATTCTTTAATTATTCTTATTTTGCCAAACTATTTTTATAATTTAATGTTAATAATACATTAGACTAATCCTATTTTTTTTTTTTTTTTTTTTT